TCTCATATAATCAGAATTTTTGAATAGGTATGATATGTAAAATTTATTCCAATATTTTTTTGAGAAATTTTGTGCGCGTATAGTAATGGTGTGCTTTAGGTCTTTCCTGGTCTTAAACTTCAACCTGATTTTGTTATCTTTTGAATTGAAATTTTTAACGGCTTCATCCACAGTTCATCAATTAAGTTATTTGGCATATCATCATAGGCTTTCTTACTCCTCAATTTTAAATACACGATCCTTCTCCTTCTCAGGAATTTTATATTTGAAAAGTTCATCATCTTTTTACACTTATTCCCATTTTTATCTACATGCACAATCAAAAACCGTCTTTTCTGCAGATAGTCAATGATTGTTTTATGGGTCAATCTTGACAGCCCCATCCATCGCTTCATTATACATTTTTGTGCAAGGTTCAGGTACAATTTTACTTTCAATGTTCTGTTCACAATTTCGTCCTTTTTTCTTTTTTGTTTTTTCTCACTGTTAATACCTTCTTTCTTTTTTTTCTTTCCCTTCTGTGTTTGGCTGCTCTACTTTCTTGCAATCTACAGATGAAGACGTTGATGGCAAGAATATCTTCAGACAGCTCATGTCTGTCGGTTGTTGAATCGTCGAAGAGAACCACGAGTTTTGTAAAGTTGAGCGAGTGCACGAGCTTGAGGAATTTATAGGTGAACCTGCATAATCGATAATAGTGGGTAGCCACAATCTCTGACAAGACCTTCGCATGATTGTTCCAGTAGGGTTTACACTCCTTTGCATTTGAAGTTGATTTCTGACCCAATATCACTGATGAGTTTATAAGTTGGAAATCGGGAGCTGAGGTGTTGTTTCTACTATTCGAGGTCTTCTTTTTGCTTTACACTAGAGATCCAAGTGTAGAGGAACCCTCTTTTGGTGGTGGTAGTAGTGGTGGCAGTGGTGGTGGTGGTGGTGTGGTGGTGGTGGTGTTATCGGCATTTTGGGAAGTCAGCTCTGAAAGAATGAAAGGTATATTGTAAAGGTGAGTAACAGATTTTTTTCGATATTATAGAGATAAATTCTTAAACGAACATAAATATCTTTATATTTTTTTTTTGTTTTGAGCTTGATTTTAAGTTAATTTATTAAAAGTAATTCGATATTGTTAATAATTAAAAATGGGGTATGAATTTCGAGTAAGACTTTCAAAAAAAGTGGCAACGTATTAATGAATCAAGATATAACGATAATACAAGCTATGTCTGTAAATCCGAATGATATTTCGCAATTATTTTAAATTATATCATGATACAATAGTTCCATTCGTACCTGATATCAATGATGAGCAATGTAACTTGAATGGTATAAACGTTAGAAGGAGCAGTGATTTTTCCTTGCTTTAGCCAGCGACGCAAGGTGTATAATGAGATTCTAAGTTTCTTAGTTGCTTTATGTGCAGATAAATACATAAAAGAAAAGAAAAGAAAGGAGGGATTAGTTTACATTTTACGATTTTGAATATTTGTTATAGGCCTTTTCAAATTGAATTTTTTTTGACTTTTTCTCTTATTATTTATAACAATAAAATAATATACCGTTTGAATAGACTCTACATTGATAAATTGTAAATTACTAATTAAAAATTTACTACAATTGCCGCAGTTAATTTTTTTTAATGCAACACATAAATAGTTAGTGGATTTGATCGGCATGATTACTAAATTATAGAATTTTTTTTTTTGTTCTTGGTAACTGGGCGTTTTGCTAGCGATAACCATCAGTTATATAGAAAAAAATTTTTAGATCATAATATAATATGTATGAAACATATTTTTTATTCCTGGTAATTCTATTAAGTAGTAGTTAACTGTTTTTGATAATAACCATTGGGCGTATAGAAAAATTTTTGTAACAATAAATAACAATACCGCTACAATGTGGTAAACTGATGTCACATGTCATCGTCACATTTTTAAAATAATAATAATAAAGATTAAAAAATATTAGATTTTTATTATAAAGTATTATACAATAATATTACCATAAGTAGTTACAACTAGTGTTCCGTAAGGGTTTAAGGACATTCGACTCGAACCCGTTAATATTTAAAGAACCTGGGCCCGATCATTATTGTTTAATCCGGATTCGACTTGAATTGTCAAGGGTAATATTAATGCTGAAAATAAAAAAGTGTCATATAAAGTTAAAAAAATTTATTATTTTTTGTGAGCAATAATCCTATTTTTTTTTACATCTTTTTCCACTAGGATTACAAGTACATACAGGTGCGAATTATATTAGGTTTTAATTCGCCAGCCATAATTATAATCATAATTATTAAATATAGAACTTGATTAAAATCGATTTTTGTTTTCGAGAAGTATTTCATAATATCTTACAATGCACAAACTTAAGTACAATTAAACTTTCTTAAAAAGCAAAAATTTTAGCATTGTATCACATACCTCATCTCTGAAATAAGGTTGCGGGGCAAACCCTAATCCCATATTGTCGTAACCTCCAAGTTTTGCCGGACGAATGACGCAGTAAATAACAAAAATGTCAAAAATAACAAAAATCAAACATGTATGTCATATTATATATATCTATGCTAAAATATTATACATAGTTTGTATTTGTTATTTACGTTTATTATATTAGTTATTTTCGCTATGGTAAACTTAGAATTTAGAACTTATAATATAAAAACCTCAAAGTCCGACTTGATTGAAAAGAGTATTATTGACGAGTCTTGGGAAGAGACTTCCGAAATCTTGAAATTTAATAAATACTATCCTTTACCCATACAAACCTTTGTAGTGTCTCCATATAAACTTGACTGCAATAATCATCTACATGAAAGAATCTTGTTAATAAAGTATTTGCATTAAGAAGGGCCTGAGTTAGATTTATCTGGTTTCAGGAACCTCAAAATTATGGTAACATTATTCGTAGTATAAAAAAAACAAGTGGTATATTTCCTAATCGGTACGCGGTTTTAAAAATATAATAAAATCTAAAACTATTCCGTTTTAAGATGGATTTGATAATTAATTCTGGATCGGATTTGATTTCAATAGCGTTGCAAACAACTAATTTTGCTATCGCGTTACATGAGGTTAATTAAAACATTTCTAACTACTGGGGATATATGAGAACAAGGGATTTCTTCCTCTCCGATAAAATGTAGTTTTAAGTTTATTCAATGCTTTATAGTTCATAGAATCGTGTGATTTTTGCATTTTTACTCTTGATAAATACAATAAAAAGCTAACTGTTGCATTAATACCACAAATGGGAGGTTTGCTATTAAAATCGAGTTACGAACATAGTAAATCATATGATCCGTAATGTGATTTTAGTAGCTTACTCCCAAATATCAAATTCAAGAACTTCGTTGAATGGTGCCTAAAAATATTATATATAACAACAAGAGTCAGTATATTATATCAATTTCAAATTTCACTCTCAAAAGTGTGCATATAGATACATGATTGTTCTTTATAGCTATTTTGGGATCCAAGATATACGAAGTGATCATCATAACACCCAAGAATTTTGTATTTGCGAGAAATAGACGATTTTCTGGAATAAAATTAAGTTAAATTTTGATTTACTATCAAACTTTAATCTAAATAAACCTACTCTTTCATAGTTTTTCCAGGCATTAAGAGCCTTTTCCGCTCTGTCAGCGAGGGTATTGAGGACTTTTAATAAAATTTTATCTGGGGGTAATGAACGAATATAACTTATTGATTCTTCAAGTTTCTTTTTCATATTTTTTATTTTGTTCAAGAAGTGCAAAAAATTATGGTAAATAAGAACCATCTCATAATAATTTACAGTATATTCACTTACATAAATGTAATTTGAAAGTTTATCAGCACGATATGCTTGAATATATGTTGGAGAGTCGTACTTTGGTTTTTCGCATATGAAGGTGTAAGCAGTCTTTGAAGTATTCAAGAATCAAAACAAGAACCGCTTTCGAGGGATGAAATCGAGACAAACTTGCGCAAATTGAAAACTAGTCTTAAAAAAAACAATGCTCCATACGCTTCCCATTTTGTAAATATTTAAAGAAGAAAGGTACTTCAGGAGAATTTTTCTCGTGGTAAAGAAAGTCGTACTAAACCATTTAGATCTGGTATTTCAAATTTAGAGGAAACCGCTTATTTTTGCAATTTCTAGACGAGCGGATGTTTCATAAACGTTTCCCAATTCAGATCTAATAAGATCGAAATGACTCTCCATTTTGTTATAAGATTTTTCAATGTACTCTCCAAATCTGCATATATAGTTTAATAAAGGAAAAGGTTAATTAGAAGCAATGAATATCAAAAATCAAGTCAAGATAGTTCACTCGCGTTGACAAAACTTATTACGACTCACTTACCAGAAACCGATTGCTCTACGATAACGCGAATGTGTTTTTTGAGCGGGTTTGACGATAAGAAGCAGGAAAGAAAAGCACTAGAATAAGTAAGTATTCGGTAATATATGATTCTATGATAACAGGTAAATCATAGAAACGATACTACGAAAACACTGCCTTGAAAGATGTCTGTTGAATAACACGCGAGGCGTACAAATGTTAAACAATTTTATGATAGAACTTACTTTGGTTGTTCAACTTTTCGATCACTATTGCAAATCTTGTAGTCTTTCCGGCAGAAATATTAAGAGGAAAATTAACAAGCCGTTCATAAGTTAGTTTAACGAAACTAAGACCATCAACGTCTTGGTTGCGAAAAATTATGAAGTCATTGTCGTTAAGGCATAAGCTTTTTCCTCGTAAATAAGTTTCAAGTTCACTCGTATTATATCTTTCCACGTCATCCACCGAAGGATTATTAGTAATAGTACTTGTAGACATTTTGATTTGATATAATGGTGCAGTCAGAATTGACAGTTCGAGATCGGTACGATTCGCAGACCAGTACGGTACGATCATGCAGATCAGTATTTTTTCGCGAAATTTTGATCGTACCGTACCGTACCGTACTGGTCCTATAATAACTAAATAGGACCAGTACGGGTATGGTACGATGTCAAATTTTGGCATTTTTGTATTTTTTCTTTTTTTTCTTTATTTTATTAAAAAAAAAAAATAAAAATAAAATAAAAAGTCCGGTAGAAGGGGAATAAAATTAATTGATCCGGGGGAAATTTAAAAAAAAATATAATCTATTTTTTTTTATTATTTTTATTCCCATCCCACCGGACTTTTTATTTTTTTTATTTTATTTTTTTTTTCTTTTTTGTTTAGTTCCGTTTAGTTTCCTTTTTTTTTATTCTTTTTTTATTTTTATTTTATTTTGTATTTCATTTGTTTTTTTATTTTTACTTTTTTTTTTCAATTCATTGTTTTTTTTTATAATTTTTTCATTTACTTTTTTTGTTTATTTATTTATTTTTTTTTTTTTTTTTAGTTTTTTCTTGCAATTCCATACTTTCGTTTTCATTTTATTTATTTGATTTTTTCATTTTTTTTTTGCAATTCGTTCTTTTTACTTTTTTTTTATTTCTTTTTTGTTTTTCTTTTTTATTTTAGATTTTTTTTCTTTTTTGTTTTTTTCAAAAAAATAAATAAAATGAATAAAAAAAATGAAAATAAAAATAAAAATAAAGATTTCCGCGGATATGGCATTTAATTAGTAAAATGTGATATGATATTTTTTAATATAATAAAAATATCAAAATTCGTTGTATTTATAAAATAAGTAATAAATAAAAATAAATTTTACAAAAATTTCATT